GGTCATCATCATCGGCTCACGCGGCGTCGGCAAGACCAGCCTCATGGAGCGCTTCACCGACGACACCTTCTGCGAGGCCTGCAAGTCCACCGTGGGTACGAGCCGCGCCGGGCGCCGGGGGCTTCGTGCGTCCTGGGAGCGCCGCTGCTCTCCGGACCCTGCGGCTCCCACGGGGTGGGGGCTGAGAGATGCCCCCCCCCTCCCCGCCCCCTTTGCTCCCTTGTCCCTGCAAGGGCAGGAGGGCGCCCCTCAGCCCTGGTCGTGAGGCCGCTGCCCTGCAGCCTGGCGGGGGGTGGGCAGGGGCCGCGCACCCGGGGCTTGGAAATTCTCCGTGGGCCACTCAGCAGCGCCCTAGGACACTGGCAACAGCTCCCACCTGCGGTTTATGCGGGTGGCTCCTTCCCCTGGGAGCGGGGCAGGGGGCGCTCCCCACTCGTCCCACAAGCAGGAGGGTTGCAGGTGCCGTCGTCCTCCTGGTCCTAGCTGTGGGGTCCGGGAGGGAGGTGTTGTCCTACCCCCTGAGGTGCCACCGTCCGGCAGTAGTGGGGAGATAGATGCCTTTGGCTTGGGGAGACCAGCGGTCCTCAACCTTTTGTAACGCATTTGTAAGCATCAATGGCCAGTCTTGACCCAGTGCCCCTCACTCCCAGCCCCCTGCCCCCCAGCCCCACAGTGTGGGGGGCAGGGAGGGTCCCAAGCAGCCCCTTGGAGACTGGAACTCTGCCAGCTTGCAAGGGAAAAGCCACCGTTTCCCAAATTTTTCTCCTTTTAAAAAAGTAAAGTTTGTTGATCCGTTTTTAAAGGTTGTTCGTGACTTTCATGTGTTCTTGCAACCTACGCGTTGGGAAATGCTACTGTAGACAGTGATCCTGCGTGTAGTGGAAGTGGCATCCGCGCTCTTTGGTGCTTTGTTCGTGTCTGCGTGGCAGGTGTTTGCAAATGCAAACTTGCTTCCCACTGCTTTGGGCCTGCCTGGTGTTTTCAGGGTTGGAGTATCAAGAAAAGCCTGCATGGCCCTTCAAGCTCGTGATGGACATCTTGGGGGAAAATGATCTGTGGAGGGGGAGATGGAGAGGTGCTTTGAAGGCCAGTTAGTTGTCAGTTTGCTGCTAGGTAAGGAAAACACTAATTTCAGGGATTCAGCTCCTAATTTTAGCAAAACAGGAAATAGTAAATGGCAGTGTGGTGATAGGCGGAAGATACTGTAACATTTGGTCTAAAAATATATGGACTTGGAATTGGCAGGTGGAAATGACATCTTCTAAGATGTAAGTTGAACTGTTGTGGAAGTAAAACCATCACATTAAAACTTCAGTCATGGAAACTTGACCTTTTGGGAACTGTTAAAAACCCTGAAATCCCTGAATTAGTAAAACAGAGCTTTTCATAAGCTTGGTTAACAACCTGGTGAACTAGCTCCTTAGACTTTTGTGATGTAGAGCAGAAAGCATTCAATATGGACAAAAAGACAGTAAAGGAATAAATCCATCCCTTGTCATTTAGTAAATTCAGAGTAATCCTAGACCGGGGTGGGCCAAATGCGGCCCAGGGGCCAGATGCGGCCCACCAGGCCATTCTATCCGGCCCGTGCGATCCTTTACTCCTAGTCGCATCATTTTTGGGAAGCGCAGCCTGGGAGTGTGTTAAAAGCTGAAGTAAAAGCCCTGTAACTGTTGGGGTGGTTCTGTGATTTAAGTGTTTTGAGCTCAGTTTGAGAAGAGAGATATAAGTAGCTGGAGAATCTTTAAGTAATGGAGGGGAAGGCATATAATCATCTCAATGCAAAGTTTTAGTTGAAATTGAACTAGAATAAAATTTCACTTTAATTTGCTCTTAATGATCTCACTCCAACCATATACTTCCTTTTATATGCAGTGTAGCTATTAGCGATAGTAGCATAGATCAAACAAACCAGCCTTGAAAACAATTTTTTTTAACTCTTTCATTTTTTAAGTAAGACTTCGCAGGTTATTTGGGGCTCCTAACTGACAGTATAAGGATAGCAAACGTTCCTGGTAAATCTTTGGGTACCCAAGCTCTGTTAGAAGTTTCAGGCTACCCTCTGCCCTTACTGAGGTTCTTAGGAACAAACGGTGCTGGTGCATGGAGCAGGGGAGAAACCCTTCCTGGTGCAAAGCAGAAGTTAATAATTTGAAAAGTTAACACATCTGTTTATTTGCAAACACACAAGTAGGAGGGCAGTCAACTATAAATTATAAACTGTACAACAAAAACACATCTCTCCCCAAAATACATTAGTTCCCTAGAGATTTTCAAAAATAATCTTTTGGACTTCAGCTCCACATCAATTACACCACATGGTATGCGATATACCTAAAATGCTGTGTGGGGGTTTGCTTCCGGTAGCAAAGGCTAGAGAATAACATGTTATTGAGCATGCCGGTACCAAAATATTTTCTAATTTTGGGCATTGGTATCAAATGAACAACAAATGTTGCTGTTCAGAATGGTGTATATGTCAAATAAGAAGGTAGTGGTTCTTTAGTTGCTGCTTAATATTAAGGTTGCAAATTATATTGGTATTCTGAGTATTTTGACAGAAATATTTTGTTTAGAAATGGTAGTGTTTGAGTGATGCTGTAGTTGTGATGGTCCAGGAAGTATGAGAGGGGCAAGAATTTTTGTGGGTGATATTTTTTATTGGATCAACTGTATGGTTATGATAGACCAGTTTCAAATGCAGTGTTTTCTTCTTCAAGTCACCGTGTCTAAATCTTTCCCAACCATGCAGCTGATCCAGTATCACCCACAAAAATCCTTGTTTAGAAATGTGTTCTTCATACATGTTACAGGGTTGTTGGTTGTAGCTGTGTTGGCATAGCCAGGCAAGGTTCTTTGGGTAGATGTGACATCTTTTATTAGACCAACTAAATAGTTGGAAAAACTGTTCTTTGCAAGCTTTCAGGCACAAACCTTGCCTGGCTATGTCCTTAGATGAACACAGCTACAGCAACACTCCAGCAACATAGAAGATATCAAATGTTGCTGTTTGAAGTGGAAACTTCACAAGGAAGAAGGGTGTATGTGCCCAAAAGCTTCCAGAGAACACTTTTTCCCACTGTTTAGTTGGTCTAATAAAAGATATCACATCTACCCAAATAATCTTGCCTCTATATATGCAAATATCAGTTATGAAGCCACACTGCCTTTAATTCCCATGTTAAGTTCAAGGTATATGTTTGCACTGCCATTTAAAAATGAAAGTGAGCCCTAAATGCTATCTTCCAGATGCAGATCTAGGCCACATACAGACATTCTGTTTCTACTAGGGGTATTGTTGTTTGTTCTCCTAGTAGAAACCACCAGTTGTACAAGCATTCATGCTGTTTCTCCCAGACAAAAAATGATGGTTCTGGAAGAAAAATAATCTGATTCCAGCCAGTTAGAAGTTGCTCCCAGGAGAATGATTGCATGTATGCTTTCCTGCAGCTCTCTCCTTGGGGACCCAGAGAAGTGGAGCCACAGGGAGAGGCTCCCTTGCCTCGCAGTGCCTGGGAGCTGAGCAGAGGGAGCTGCAAGCAAGCTTCTTGTCTTCCTGCTCCCTGTGGAGCCCCTGGAGAGAGAAGTGAGCAGTGAGTTTTGTCCTGCTGCTCAGTCTGCTTGATTCCCAGCCACTAACTGGTGGCCAAGCAGAGGCAGCACCCCTTGCCCACTTCTCTCACTGGATTCCCCAGTGCCTTGCTGCTCCAGTTGCCCCACAAACGAGAGGACTGGAACAGCCCACATCTTCCCTAGACCAAGATCACCCCAGTTTTGGGAAGGTGCAAAGAGCAGGAGAGATGGGGGCGGCTGCAGACTGAATGCCTGTACTGCTTCCTCTCCTGGAATCATTTCTAGCTGTGGAAATGTTCTCCTGCTAGAAAAGAACATTTGTATGTGGCCCTAGTTAGCATGGTGTAAAATTAGCCAGAATGCTGTATTGATGATGACTATATGAGCTGTTATATTAATATGTGAGGAAAAAGCTTAAGCTAAATTGTCACAGTGTGGTTGCCTTCCCATAGTAGACTTCTGTGTGAGATTTCTGTTTCTGTAAAAGCCTAGTATGTATTTTGAAGCATTTATTGTTTAATCATAAAAACATAGGAACATTGTTTAGTGTACAGTACATGATGTTTATTTTTCCAAACTGTTCTGCTTCCTTACCAGAGCCTATTCTTCACTAATATTGGAAAGGCAGAGCAGGATGGCACCATAGAGACTAACTTATTCAGAAATGCATAAGTTTTCTTAGGCAACTTCAAATCTTGACCAACTAGTCTGTTCCTTCGAAAACTTATGCATTTCTTAATGAGCTAGTCACTAAGGTGGGGGGTGTTATCCTGCCTGTCCTACCTCTCTCTAATCCAGGAAAGATCTTGTCAAAACTAAGTGCTCAAAAAAAATCTCCTTAAGGCTAAATTATTTTTAACTTGAAATAATTGAAATTAGAGATGAAAGCAATATTAGATTCATCTTCTAGCAGCATAGTTCAGCCTAAGATTTCTGCTGCTGCTTTTGTAAAAAGCAAGTTTAATTTTTTCTTTAGTTTCCCATTTCTTGAAAATCACATTCACAGTGTCAGTCCAAATGTAAGTTTTCAGTAAACCTTTCAAATAGCATCATTGGTACACATTTGGTTTAGCCAAAGTGTTTTAAAGGTCCATGTACGACTTGTTTGAACCATCTGGCCATTTGATTATTGACTTTGAAAACTTAAGTTGTTCATCCTTTCTGGCTGCTCATTCAGCTGTTCCCTAGTTTTGTGGTCAGCTGTTTCATATCATGGACAATATTTCAGTAACCAACTATAGCATAAAACTTATATTAGCTAAAAAATGACAATTTATTGCTAAAATACTGTTAAAATCTGAGATTTACCCTTTTTTTTTTTTCCCCCACAAAGTAATCTATATAACCAGATACAGGAAAAAAATCTTTATTATATATATA